TCTTTACACACTCCCTCCTTACCCTGGTCAAACCCAATCTGGAAGCAGAGCATCAGTTTCTTGTCGCTGTACATACAATATCACGAGCCAAATACAATAGACTATTTCGATGTACACAACGTCTGTGAACCTTCTCGGCCGAGCCCTTCATCCATTCCGCCATTTTATGCAGTCCGGTCAGTCCGTTCGCTAAATTGGACGGTTATTAAAATCACTCATTCCCCGATTCTATTACCCATATTTCTATATGAGTGAACCATCCTCAAAACTCTATCTTCAAACAATCGGGTGTATTACCCAAGAAGCGCACACAAACTACTGCCCAGGAATTATCAAATCAGCTCGGTCAGGGTACGTTTAGCCCTCATTACAATCCCTACTCCCCACTCATGTTATTGGACTCTTGCTCAGGCCACCACCGCCATTTCCTGCCCCAAATGAAACTGTAGATCCTGGTGTATTTTGGCCCTCGCCGCCACTCTTTGTTCGGCCGGAATGGCTCCCACTACCTGAGCGATTTTGTCTGTAGGGTGCACTTGTAATTTGCGATGTGGTGGCTTATCCGCTCTGCAAAGTGAATCCTGCCATCGGGATGAAGATATTGTTGATAGGTTTAGTCTGCCCGGTAAAGTAAACCTCAAACTTATGGACGCTGTACAAAACGAACCATTTCAGCTGCTGGTGGCTGTTCGTCGAATGGAGCATCCTCGTCGAGGACCTCGGTGGCAGGCGGTTAGTTTGGGGTTGTTTTATCACCAATGTGGCGAACATAAAAAGAGCGTTTTGGTGCACAAATTCTCGAGCTCTGCTTAATTCCGGACAGTGGATTACTTTGGAGGCCATCTCCATGTTGTGTGTGAAGTTGCAAAGTGATAGAGGGAGTTATGGTAAGTGGAGTTGGGGGTAATAGAGGGGTTGTGGATCGTGAAGGGGTAGTTTCCTGGGGGATAGGGTACGTGAAAGGCATAAGCCATCCTTAATTTCCTCACATTAATTTTATATATAAACACAGCTGCTACTGCAGATGTGTAAAAAATTAGTCAGAGCCTCAAGGTTTTAGTAATATAAAATAATCATGTTTAAAGATGCCAGGCAATTAGGCGGGTGATGAACAGGAGTGTTTTGAGGCACACATTTTTTGTAAATACCATTGAAGAGAGCTTTCTCCTTCTTTCTTAACTATGATCCAGCAGCGCCATATCCCCTGCGGTCGGCGGCATGCGGTTGGTGGATCAGGGGGTGGAAATCGATTTCTTTTGTCACCAAGATCGTACCATACAATATCGACGAATACCCACAATCTTACCGAATGAATGACTATGTAGTAAAATGGCTCCCGTACCTGCAGAGGTCCACAGTGCAAAAGCGATGTGAGCCTTTCCCCTGGGCCCGAGTTGAAGCAGCTACAGAGTCACATGTTCAAGTTCAAGCGCGGCCGATAAATATATTAGTCACGTGGAACTGATAAGCAAAATCTCACATTGCCACGATAATACACGTGACAATGCACGTGACAAATAATTCTATGGTCTCCACTTGTAGATAAGTCTAATCGGATCTTAGCATATGACTGTGTTGTTCCTCCTTTGTCCTGACAGAGCATATAAGCAGTGCTGGATATATGACCCCACCTTCTCCTTGACTCCTAACAAACTCTTGCTTCTGGTTTGCTAGATCACTATCCTCCTCAAGAACTACATTGCCGAATATCATCTTACCTCCTTACCAGGACTCCCAAATCTTTCTTCTTCCTCAATGGTTCCCACTCCTGCATTGGCGGGTGACCTTGGTACGATACCTGAGCATCTGAGTGGCTTACAGGATGCCAGTGTCCAGACCCTGGCACTCAACTCCGATCCCCATGAGATTGCTGCCGTACGAGAGCTTTTTGCTGGAGGAGTTTCAAGCCAGCCCTCTCCCATGCAAGATCTTTTAATGCAGGGGCAGACATTTCAGGAACAGGAAGCCAAGTGGTATCAACACTACGAAAAGCTTGAAGCCAAGTTTTATCAGCGCTGTGAGATGAAAAACCAAGAGCTTTGTGAGAAATCTGCTGAAATTTCCAGAATTACTGTTTTGGTCCCTAGCTCCCATCTTTCTCCAATTTCTAACTGCTATCGTATATAGATCATGGCTTTGTACGAGAAAACCGAAAAAATAAAGCTAGAGGGAAATTTCAACCTCCATGGAGCCTTGGGTAAACAATCACACTATTCATCTATTTACTTATCACTAATATTTGGCTATAGAACGCACAGCCTATCACGGGAGACTGATCGGCAAAATTAAATCCCCTTACACACATGGGGTTCAAGCCGGACTTGACGAATTGGCCAAGACAACAGTATTTCAGGAATTCCTGGCTGAGGAAATAGCAACCCGTCACCTTGTAGACAAGGATGTTAACCGCTGTGCCGCCGTTGTTTATCACGAGGCATCCAAACATAAACATGGTAATACTAGTATAATTACTATTTATCAGGAGGATCATACCGCGAATGAATGTGCTGCACTGGCTACTTTCCTGAGAGTTCAGGATGGGTGGCCGGGTGGCCTAGAGTGGAGGGAAGTGAAAAGGATAGAGCAGACCGGGTACTGAGCTAGCTACATTGTTCTACCTTGACCATAAACCTCTCCTCAGTCTTGATTTGTGCTATGCTGTGGGAGAATCAATTGGTATGGTGCTGAGAAGGGTGTTGTTGTTTATTATACCAATATCAAAATAGTGGCTTTAATACATGATCGAGACTTCTATGCTGTACAGAGCCCGACAGGGTACTGCTGTGAGGGGATAGCTTACTGCGGCCTATAATGACGAAAACTGCAACAGCGCCCAGATCCTGGAGATCCAGGCCTCCCAAAACCAAAGCTCATGAATTTTCTTCAACCGTCAGAACTTTATAAGCAGAAGGCTACATTACCGTTACTGTTTCAGTTCTCCAACAAAGGTCGCCATCAATTGCCCTTTTATACCAAAAAGTGGTCATTTTCGAAACCATGTGATGACTCAATGTGCACCTCAATTGACTATATGATACCGTAAGAACTGGAATGATTGAGAATGGCCCTAGGACGTCCAAAATTTCCCCCTTTGGATTAGAGTGAGAAAACACATCCCCATCGAGAGAGGTAAAAAGAGAAATATAACAGACTTTACTAGGAGAGGCAACTCCTTCGTCCTAGCAGGATTCTCAATTATTCCAGTTCTTATGGTATTTACCCGAGCACAACATCTGCCCGCCACCCAGATTTTACATCTCTCCCGCTCACCCGAATCTCAATCCATCCAAAATATCTCCATTTTCTGAATACGCAGCGTTTAGTCAATTGGAAATGAGTGAGAAAAATAAAATGGTTGTTGTTAAGCAGCCTTGGCAGTTTGGAGTCGAGCATCCCGGCGTGCCACCGGCCATGTCAACAATTCGTGATGGGGACAGTCTTCTCTGTTGCTACTCGTACAAAGGAAACTGGGATCTTCTGATATTCTGCGCCCTAGCATCCATGTCGCTAATGGATGCCACGGTGTTTGTATGTGACTTATGATACAATGTTCGCGTTTAGGTGTAAGGGAGAGTTTAAGGAAAGCTTATCATGTGGTTTCGCGGTGTAACTTAGTTGGTTACTATCGTAGTACTTGCTACACCACGTAGCCGGTGGAAAACATTGACTTCTCTCCCGCTGAACCCAACTTAGCCAATATTCGTTGGGCCGAGCCTCACAACCCCCCCGCCCCGGCCCGTCCCTAACCCAGACTCCTTATCCCAGATCGCACGAAATTGTTCGAATACCGTAGTAATTGCTGCCTATTACGTACCAGTTAACTATATTGGGGTTTTCACTTACAGGCCGTTCCAGGGCGTTTTGCGTCACGGTAACTTTCTAGCTTGGATGTCACTTTTTCTCTTCTTGTCGTCATAAAACCCTCTGACATGACTTATGTACAGTACTACAGCAACGATCGGTCTTATGCATTACAACGTCATCTTCAAAACCCTTGATGGAACGACATTAAGCGGTTCTGCCCGGCTGGGGAAAAGGCCCCAGCAGTAGTCATTTCTCACTGAGTAATTCCCCCTCTCCTCCGGTCCTTTCTGTTCAGCAACTCCCTACCAAGCTCGATGCTGGTTCGATTTGTCCCTTTGTAGCTAGTCCGAGACATTTAACTCAACAAATACATGTACAGTACATTACCTGACAACCTAATACAGTAACTTATGCCTCTAACTGAGCTTCCGCTCCCCTCCAGCTCCGATAATTTAACTACCCCAAGTGGTTACTCAACCTTAGAACCTTGTTGCGATACCTGTTGCAACCTGCAAAAGTATTTTCTGCACCGGTCTAGAGGCTTTCGTCTGACTTAGTCCATGCAGGAAGCCACCCCGCACTCGAACGGGCAGTAGTTCACTGCCCTCATTCACCAACAACACCGAGACAGGAGCACAAAGAACAAAGATTACATATCAACAAGTTGAGTCCGTTTAATGATATGCCATCTCTCTAAGCGACAGACGCCGTAAAGAGGAAATCGAACACCGGCAGTGTTAAGTCCCGGATCGGTAACCAAGCATGAATACCTTCACCAGCACTCCGTCACCGGTTCGCATTCTTCTCACCGCATGCCTGCCGACAAAAGGCTCGCGATAGCAGAGTATGATATCATACCCAAGTACTTGCACAACAAGTCACTGGGGTGGGCGCAAAGGTTTGTTGAAGTCTGGTCTTGCCGGTGGAAGTCATGTCTTTGTAATGTGAATTATGCAACAGAACAGGCCAGATACGTTAATTTTTGGTGCTAGAAAAGAATCTATCAAACTCCAAGCACGGTCACTGGAGATACCGTTCTCGGAGTGCTTGAGAGAGCTGTAGAGCCAACCGGAGCAAGTTCGACAGAGCTACACACAGCCCCCTATTGCAGTACCGGTACACTACGTTGATACTGGAAAGAGAGAAAAAAAACCCAATATCACATCCCTATTTGGGTTTAGAGGGACTGTCCGACCGGCCCCGTGGTGCAATCTGTTACCACACCAGTCTGACACTGGTGGTCCCCGGTTGGAGTCCAGGCCAAATCAATTCTTCTCCCCTCTTGTGGCTAGTTATCACTTTTGGCCTTCAACCAAATTTAATCCCCTTCTACGGTATTTTTCCAACTATGCCATGTTGTCTTAGCTGGGTTGCAATGTACCATAAGCCTAAAACCTTGACGGCCATCTGTAAGGAAGATCTGGAAGTGGGTCCAATGATATGGAAAGCAGGAAAAACAGATAGAAAAATAAAACCTAAAGTGGAAAGTAGAAAGGATGGATGTGTGTGGGGTGTAAGCACTTATCTTCCCAGGAGGTGGATTGGGGGTTATCAGAGCCGGCATATATCATGGATTATTTGGGGAGGGGGTATACGTAAGCTAGCATACTGGGTCGGTGATAGGAAGAGAAAAACAAAAAGGGCATGAGCTATGCAAGATTCAACGGAGGGGTATAGGTTATACTAGAGGGTGGAAGGGCGCCAAGCGCTATACGCCCGTTATGGTAAGCATATAACAGAGGAGTAGTGTGATGCAGAATTCATCTGTCTTCCAAGTCGGGCAACGCGAGTACATAACTGACCCTTGTACGATAGGCTATTTTACCCGAGTGATCGTTCATGACGGCAGATACAGCTGTTCCATGCGATCATAGTAGCAGCCTGCGAATAGATAAAGCCTAATGCGAAAAGTCAAAGTATATCATACCTATTGCCCAACAGGAATAACCGACCAGCTAGCACACCGCAACCGAAAGAGCAAGTAAAGCTGGAACTGTAATCCCAAACATCCTCCCCCCACTCACATTTTATGATAATTATCCACCCCGCGCACTATCCACTTTCCCCACCTCATGCTCTAGTTTCTAGGTGACAGTATTGAGGTTAGTCCCATTCTCGGAAGAGCTAGTTGATTTGTTAACTGAGCACCCCCGATCTTATTCTGGTCGGTGTAGCTGACTCTGACATTTTCTCCCGCACAGATTGTCCTCGACCACCCTGGTGATCCATGTCACTTGGGTGGAGACGTCCTTCATCACGTTTTCCTCCCAGCTACCAATGACAGATAGGCCACGGCATTGTAGCAGAATCTACTTCTACCCCCCCATATCTCATTATCAACCCCAAACCTCCTCCTCCAGAAGGTTGGGAAAAAAGTATCGGAAAAGTTATCGTGGAGGATCTGAAGATTGAGCCAGATCGAGCGCCTATGCTGGCTGGTAAAGCCTACGTACATGAGTGGCTTTTACCGTGGGAATTTGTTTTTGCCCGGTGTTTGGTATAAAGGCTGAAAAAAAAAAAATCCTCCTTTTCCTTGTTTTCCTCCAAAAATGGAAATTTTCCGGCGCTTACTAAAGATACCAATTCAAAAACCGGGTTGCAACCGATCAGGCGTTTGGTACTATACCGGTAGGGCAATAACGCATCTTTCCGTAAAAGTCGGACTCGCCCAAGGTGGGTCCTGGCTCGATTGCCTTCTCGCTATTTGCTTAAAGTGTGTGCCGATTTGGGACTAACCTTGACCTTTCTGTTTGGCTCATCTGCCCTCAGCTCCAGTCCGACTCTTTCGGAAAGACACGGTAGTGGTTGTGTTCACAAATGTCGTTCGTTACGAGTACTTGTACAGTACTGTGAGTCCCCAGTCGCGGGGCAATGCGTTCTTTGCGGGTTATCGGCACCAAGACAAATTAACAAACCTAACTGGGACAAGGGACAATATTTAACAAGTTGAAATAAGGCCGGGGAAGGTCTGCAGGGTTGGCTGGAGCTGCTGCTCCGAGAAAACAAGAGGGAATGGTGATGATGAAGACGTGAAGTTGAAGGTTAGACATGGCCCGCTCAGGAACAGAAATCTCCTCACAAACTCCGGAGAGCCCTTCTTTCCCAGAATGGAGTTTATTCACAGCTTCGTCTCTCTCTCTCGCCCTCTCGGCATCATCCCTAAACTAGCTACATATAGGGGGTAGTCCCCATTACCCATAACGGTAGTCTCCAGACCACCGCCGACAAAACTACGTGGCCATATGTTGAAACCACGTGAGAACAACCCCGAGTCACTACCGCTAGTTATACCTAACAGTACTGATATATGTCTTTAATTGAATCAGTGCCTCTTCGATATACCACTCTTATGCTATAAAAGTGGTTTTTATACCATAAATTTCTCCATCCAAAACTTTTTATATTGAGGGGATGTTCAGCATGGCCAAAAGATATGCTATAAATTCATTTTAATCTAGAGGCCTAATAAATAAATAAATTTGTCAGTATGAGCTAGATTAGTTAACTATCAGGTTGGATGTGACTGCAAATATAAGGGCATTACGGTCAGAGAGTTTTTAATCAAACTAGAGAGACATTAATATATTAATATAAAATTAATGGTATTTATTATATTGTGACCATACCCAACGACCATATTTTCAAAAATATGATTTTTTTTTTTTTTTTTTTTTTTTTTTATAGATTTTTTTTTTTTTTTTTTTTTTTTTTTTTAATAGAATCTATATTGTTTGCACCTTTTATGATTACAAAAAATATGATGGCCATGTAAAACAGGCCTTTAGTAATATATATAGTTGCATGTTTTACTAATTTGTTGGTTTTATTATTTCCCTATAATATACATGCATTTCTATGAGTCCATGAGGTTTTTATTAGGCGGTAGCCGACTCTAAGGGAGGTTGAGACTAGCTGGGACAAAGGGTCTTTATCATAGACGGAGATTTGTCTAGGAAGGGCTCGTAATGAGTCCAACTCGCTAATGTTACTTAAGAGTATGAAGGTGCCAGTGGTCAAGAGTAAAGGTTGAATAAAGGTTTTAAAAGGTAAAACTTGTTATATTAATAATATCTCTTTTCTCCATTACTTGCATGTTTCCCAAGCATGAGAGGTATGATATCCCCCCCCCCTTTTTTTTTTTTCACCTTATTCTAATTTACAGTAAGGAGTCCTAAGTTATATCCTAACATCACTCTTAAAATTCGAAAATAGATATGAAAATTGTGATATTATTGGGCTTCGCCCAATTACTGTTATGATACTTGTTTGTAGAAACCCCCCCCCCCCCAAACTGGACAAAGCCCGAACAGATAAATCACCACACACTCTCTCTCTTTAACCCCTAATAGCTTCTAACTAACTACCGGTACTATAAAACACGCAGATAAGCGTATATATAATATATATCATTCAACATCAAAAGCGGATTACCCGTAACCGTGTTCCCACCGCTACAAGTTATCCGTATCTTTCCTACCGGGTAGAGTACGAGTGGACTAGAGTACGAGCACGGCACACGGCAGGCTGCGGTTCAAAGGACAAACACGCGCGCACCGCGCCTTAACATATTATGATACCGGTACAGTGCTTGCGTTGGATGGATTGCGGGTTAGCGGTGGAGGAGTTGAAACTTTTACGGTGTTACCGTATGATATTGCATCCACTCGGGCTAACTGGGAGAGTTATGGTGTTTAGCGAGATTTTGATAAGTTAAACCACCGGGGAGGGGGGGGGGTGGCAATTCGCAGCTGTGCTGTGTACAGTACGGTGGGCCACTTGAGCTGATTATATACTTCCGAAATGGCATTCATTCAACAAGAGCTCCAAAACATGGAGTCTGGCAAGCAATGAACTACAAGTTATCACCAGAAATCATTGACACCGAACCTCACTCACTCACCACCAATTTACCATCTTACTCCCCATAGCTATCAAAGTTCCCGGTACCGTAACAAAGCATAAGCACCTCTGCAACCCCACCACCAAACTCCCCCAAAAATCCTCCTCCCATCAAAATCACCACCCACCCACCCACCCACACACACACACACACACACACACACACACACACACACACACACACACACAAAACACACCTGCACACCCACATCATACCAAGACCTGGTCACGATAACCTGTAGATGTCGCCCTAGCGCATCATATCGTAGATTAATACCCACACACACACACCAAGAGCGTTCGGAAATCCCATTCTCGGTGCTCCACAGCACCGTACTCGAGTAGAAAAAACCCGATTTATGGACCCTGAATATAGCAGGAAGGAGGGAGAGTAAAAACGAGGAGACCAAATTCGGCTCACCTCATTTTGGTCGCGCGCGCGATCGAGGAGGCCATTAAGCAGGCAAAGTGCGGATCATGTAGCATCACTCGAATAGTGAACACCAGACACCAGAAAAGCTAAATAGAAAAGGACAAACCGCGGGATTTGTCTGGTTGTAAAAACAAAAGGTTAAGCGATCAAAGATCTAGGGCTATGTCTTGCGATAATTGTTTGCTCGAGGTGCGAGCGTGCGAGCGGTTTTACAAAGAATGAGGTTTCGAATCTGTTTCCCCGCCCCCACAGAAGGAACCTGATATCGCGCCATCATCATCATCATCTCGAGATGCGGAGTATCGTTCGTCCGTGGGGCATTTCAAAAACTCTCCATGGAGAGGAGGAAGACTGGGCTTAAGATCCATAGCGCAATCCACGTAAAACTGGCGAGCGTCATTTAATTTTCAGCTATTCTATTTATTCATCTATTTATAAGCCCCACGCTTCCGGTCAGTTGGTCGGTCAGTTGGTCGGTCGATTGGTCGGTCGTGAATAGAATAGTCGTATCGTATCGTCTCCTGGTTGATGATACCCCTCTCCTCTCATCCTCTTTTGTTTGTTCGTTCACCACGTTCCATTTTGAAAGCCTCCCTCCCTCTTCTTCCCCCCTCTTCTCTCCACTCCTACCCCATCGCCCCTCTCGTTCTATCTGTCTATCCGACTGGCCTCTCCACGGATGGATATCCGCTGCTGCGGCGGCGGCGCATGCAACCGCCCCCCTCCCTCTTAATGCCTCATCTTTCAGATGACAGTGATGGGTATCGTACAGTTATCGTATCATACCGATAACGTGCCCCAGATTTTGCTTCACTTTGATTCACTTTTTGAGCTTACCCCACATTTCTCGTTGATGCCAAGATTTGGGTTCGGAGGTAGGTTGGTTGGTTTCGCCCTTTAAATCTGGACTGTGGATGTGGTGGTGGCTGTGATGTC